AACACATCGATGGGCACGAATCCTGCTCACCTCTGGGCACGCTCGCAGGCTTTGCTGAGAGATGATGATGTGTAGAGCTGACGAAGAATGTTTTTTATTTCTTCACACCTTTTCAGATGCCTAAAAAGAGTGAGCCCGGTTGAATTCACTATGCATCTCTTACTTTCCATTCCTGCTGAGGTAATTGCATCGGGATGTTGGTCTATTGCTGCCTGGGACACAGCAGATCAGCCTGTTGAGCACCTACGCTATGCCATGGTGACGTACAGAAGGGAAAGCAGGTACAGCAGAAATGAGGCATAAAAATAAAACCCTGCAAACAGCAAGCAAAATGTGCAAAAATGACCGGCTTGTGTATCTTGGCGTCCTGCTTGAAAATAAGGATTGCTCATTATAAAGCAAGAGTCAGTGCTTACATCATGCTGTTGATTTATAAGGTTCATTTGTTAGCGAACCAGTCGGTATCTGCACTCCACAGCCTACTCGGCAGGAGGGACTGACGGTGCAGGGGACTGCCCCCCAGCCACTGATCTGGCACAGGAGCTGCCACGAGGAAGGGCTTATCCTGAGCTGTCTTCTCGAGACCACACACACATGCCAGAGGCTCCTGCATTTGCTGGGCCAATGTGATTATTTATTTCAGTTTTCCTAAGAGGCAAAATGCATCGTATGTATTCTAGCATGAGCGATCATTTTCAGGAAATACTCAGTGATAATTTAATTGGCCACTGGGTGTCACCCTTAATCTGAGAAAATGGCAAAATTCAAGTTTACAGGATTGTAATTTAAGAAAATATTTCTTTTCTCACAGTTAAGAAATGAAACTGTTCCCTTCTATCACTGAGTCAGACCCTGTCATGCACAGAAATCTGCTCAAGGATTCAAGACTGATCTTTGTTTCTCTACTGCAATTTTTGGCCATAAAACCACATTTAACATATTCTCTACGATTAAAACTCTGGACTGGCCAAACACTGACAAAGTCAATACACAATGATGTTGCTTTCATGTGTGCTTCCAGGCCTGTGAGCTCAGTGAGAGCAGCACCTGACATCATTTTTATAAATATGGACATTAGCATGACAGTATTTCAAGAGTTCAACCAGATACTCGTGTCCTTTAAGTCTTGAAAACTTCTCCTCAAGAAACACCTCTATGAACACATTTTAAAAAAAAACTTCAATAGCGCATTGCCTCATAAAAGCCTGTGAAGAAAAGAATTTGCTACATTGGGCCAAAACAAAAAATAATCAATACTTTATGTACCCTCTGAACAGAAACAGAGTTTCAGGGAAAAGAAAATGGAAGTTCCAACAGAGAAGTGATGAGAAACACTGTCAAATGCTAACTTAAAAAAAAAAACCAAAACCTGAATCTGCTTTATCAAAGGAAGTCGTGTTTAAGAAGTGTATTTTAAGTGGCTATAGGGTAAGGTACAGTATGTAAATAATTTAAATACTTGGCATGTGCATGAAAGATTTGTGAGGTAGGAAGGACAGAGTATAAAGGGGTTTTACAGGGTTAATATCCAAAAGCAATATACTCGGCAGACTTCAGAAACCAAATTATTCCTTTCACACCTACCTACAACTTAGGTTTCAGAACAGTCTTAAAGGTGAGGGACTCTTCCACGGCCCAGACCCTGTACATTATTTAGGACATAAAACCCAGTGTGCTGATGCATTACATTTACAAAGACCGGAAAGCCTGATTTGAGAAATTTTACTTCCTCTTTTCTCGTCTAGTAAACAGGACACAATATGTGCCCATTAAAACGTTACCGCTAAGTCTGAATGCTAATCATGTCCTTAGACTGTAACGCTTGGGAGGGGGAGGTCTTTCGGGAAGGAGGGGCACAGGTTGCCTGGTAGCGTTCTCTGCTGTAAAGCGCAGAGGAGCCCTGGAGAGGTAAAGGCGACAGAACTCCTAACCAGCTTAATGTGCACCGGCCTCTGCGACTGAACAGTTCCTTAAGTACCTGAGAGCCGTATAGCACACAAGCCTTAAATTACAGACAGATGTAACTCTGGCTGCAGCTGAAATAAAGAAGCCACTAAAGCTTAGCCAGGCAACTGCCTAAGAGCAGACAGCGATGTTCCAGAGGAAGTAAAGAACCTGCACTCAGAGGGATGCTGTATGGTTGGGAAAAACCTGTTAAGAAGGAAACATCACAGCTCCAGCGGTTTATTCAGGCTGCAGCCCCAGGTTTAACATCACTACTTCTGTGGAAAGCGCCTCGCAGCCTGCCATAACTGGCTGGCTGGCACACGAGGTTTGTGATGCACTTTCGGCAGCACCCCGCTGTGCCCAATGCCCCTGGCTGCCATGTTGGGTTGCCATGAAGCACGAGTGACTCTCAGGGTAGGGTAAAGCCTTCCTGACTTGACCTCCTGCAGAGCACTAAGCTCCTCTGTGTCTTTGGACATCTCTCCTCATCATAAATAACCTGCTTTTCAAGCATGCTGCATCCACCAGCTCCCACTGAAGTACTGAGAGTTTAGCAGCCCTTTTTAAGGTACACAAAGAAAGCTTGGTCCTGGCTTTGGGAAGAGGGAGATCTCAGCTATGTATTATTAAACAAGTCAGTAGCCAACTCCCCTTCACCTGAAATTAAGACTTAATAGAGACTTCTAGCCCTTCTTTCCAAAGGTCTACATTTAGAGCCAGGCACCTAGCATCCTACTGCGATACCCAGTTAACCTGAGCTGGCAGGTGGGTGTACAGCGGCGTCTCAGCACCTCTGGACACCAGGAAGCTGTCTTGTAGCTGCCCGTCCACTGCTTCATCTGGCTACCACCACACATGCCTGGCAGGCGCTTGGTCAGCCGCCTTGGTGAGTGTCAAGGATCACATCCTCTTACTGGCTTGCTCACCTCACGTGCTGCTCACGGTTGTGATCAGAGGGCTTTGCATTTCCATTAAGCGGTAAGTATAATTACACAACTCCTCATCACCAATGAAATTACACCAGTGTCGTGGTTTAACCCCAGCCGGCAACTAAGCACCACCCAGCCACTCACTCACTCCCCCCCGGT